ACGTTACGCAGTCCGGACCACCCGTCAGATTAAAAAAAAAAAAAAAAAAAAAAAAAAAAAAAAAAAAACCTCCAGGCGCCTTATTACCATGGAAACAAGATTAGGGGTTTATGATTGGCATTGCACATAACCTGCAGTGTTAACGCTGTTATTACACAGTTGGTGGTGCTGTTGCCTAAGCAGACTTTTTATGTGCCGTCATGAAACATAAATTCTCCACCCGTCTTTGAAAAATAAATAAATAAAAGAGGGCGATGGTTGTGTTGTGAGGCGTCTGACTGAATCGTTTTTATACAGATGGAAAGACTTAACATTTGACACATATAAAACGGACCTATCCCTTGTATGGATATTTTAGATCATATTTTTGAGAAAGAAAAATGAATGATTTGAAGAGCAGAGGCACTCTGACGCATCGGGAAATCTCCATTTTGCTTTTCTTTTGTYTGATCACTGCGATCAGAGGACAAATTCGATATTCTATTCCAGAAGAAATGAGGAGAGGACTGCTTGTGGGGGACGTGGCAAAAGACCTGGGCTTGGATGTGAAAAGGCTGGTGTCTGGTCGAGCTCGTCTGGTCATAGATGAGGAAAATCAGTACGTCGCTCTGAACCAGAACAAAGGACACCTCGTTGTGAATGAAAGGATCGACCGAGAAAAGCTCTGCGCCATGAAATCGCCGTGCAGCTTCGGGTTGGAAATCGTCATCGAAGATCCCCTCGAGCTGTTTTCCGTCACGATTGAAGTGCAAGACATAAACGATCACGCTCCCGACTTTCCCAAAAAGGAAATTAATTTAGAAATCAGCGAATCGACGCCCGCGGGGGCCGCGTTCCTGCTCGAGAGCGCAACTGATCCCGACGTGGGAATAAACTCGCTGCAGAGCTACTCTTTAAAAGAAAACCCGCATTTTGTACTCAGACAGCATGCCGGTGCTGATGGGAGGAAATACGCGGAAATGGTGCTTCAGAGCGGGTTGGACCGCGAGAAGCAAAGCGAGCACACGCTGGTTTTATCAGCAGCAGATGGGGGAGAACCGCAGAAGTCAGGGACGGTCAAGATCCACGTGTCTGTTTTAGATGCGAATGACAACGCGCCCATTTTCACACAACTGATATATAAAACATCTGTTCTGGAAAATATGTTGCCAGGCACAGTTATTAGAGTCAGCGCTAAAGATGAYGATCAGGGTTATAACGGGGAGGTTACTTACTCCTTTACCCATCTGGAGGAGGGTTCATCCTGCCCTTTCGAGATCAACTCACACACCGGAGACATTAAACTCACGGGTGAGCTTGATTATGAGATTTATCCGAGTTATGAATTAAACCTTCAAGCTAAAGATCCGTGGGGATTATCAGGCGCGAGTAAATTATTAGTAGAAGTGGTGGATGTGAACGATAACAGCCCCGTGATCACACTGACGTCATATTCAGGCAAGATTTCAGAAGATTCACCTCCTGGAACCGTTGTGGCGTTGATTAGTGTCCAGGATAAGGACTCGGGGAGGAACGGACAGGTGCGGTTAACACTAGATGAAAACCTCCCTTTCAGAATAAAATCCTCCCTAAGAAATTATTATACATTAGTCACGGATCAAATAATTGACAGGGAAAAACGATCCAAATACAACATCACCCTCACTGCCACTGATGAAGGTTATCCTGTCTTATCAAGCAGAAATGAATTAAGTTTAGATGTGACTGATATTAATGACAACGCTCCAGATTTTAGTCAAAATTATTACAGCACTCAGGTGATGGAGAACAACCATCCAGGCATTTCTCTGTTGCAGATCCACGCCACGGATCCAGATCAGGGTCCGAATGCGCGCATTTCTTTTTTTCTTTCTGACGGTGAAATTAACGGAAGTCCGGTGTCTGCTTACTTCTCGGTTCATTCAGAAAGTGGGGTGGTTCAGTCTTTGCGTTCACTTGACTATGAGCAAATGAAAGAGTACAAAATACTAGTCAAAGCTCAGGATGGAGGCTCTCCTCCACTCAGCAGCAACGTGACTGTTAAAATCCTGATCCAGGACCAGAACGATAACCCCCCTCAGGTTCTGTACCCGGTCCA